AGGCCTGTCAACCGGGTAAGATACAAAGGGCTTTGTGGAGGGAACACAATGTATTGATGGTGTGCCAAGACTAATTCTTGCCAGTCTCGAGGGGGCCCCTGGGGGGTCCCAAACTATAAGGAAATCTATCTGCCTATGTTCATGTGACGAACCCCTCACGGATCGACATCGAAACAGATGTGTGATGACATAGATGTTCCTTCCCGAGCCTGTGCAGGTTTACATGTGTTTCATTGTCTACATTTATAGAGAGAAGGACTGCGTGCGTGATCAGTCGGGATAGCTGACTGTCGAATCCCCTGACCGGGCATTCGCGGTCCAGTTTATAAGTGCGTAGTCCGAATTTCTTACCCAGCAATATAACCAGCTCTTCGTTAATGAAAACTAAGCTATCTGCTCCGGTGTCTGCTAACGCTGAGATTGTAAAGGAACGTCCGTTGTGAATCAATCTTATATTAAATACTAAACTATCCCGTGGACCTCCTAAAAGCTTGTGTAGATCTAGCACGTATAGTGATACCTATTTCCTACCTAGGATTGAGACTTCTCCTAGGCAGTGGCTTTTCCCTGGTCTGTATCATCTTCCAGTTCTTCGATTTCGGTAATATGGGACTGCGTATAGGACTAAGTGGTAGCGGCGGCTATACCCGCAGTAGCATTAGATTTCTTCTTCGGGTATTCAAAAGCCATATAGCCTTTCTCTTTATAGTAGAAATATCGTCCTTCCTTTATCAGGTTTTTATATTCCGAGGCTGAGAGTCTAGGTACAGCACCCTCCCGTTTCACACGTGGTATATACGACTGGTTGGTGCTGGTAGTTATGCCGGATCCGCTGCTAAATGATATAGTTGTACGGGTCTGTGTAGATTTCGCTTCCTGTTGGAGACTGATCTTATGCGCTATGCTTTAATAGTTCTGGGTAAAAGCGTTAAACACTACTATATCCTGGTTGACTGCCTATATGACTTGACCCTATAGTAGAAATAGCAGTTTCGAGTAGAGGTCTCGCTTTCGATTTTCTTCGATAATAGCAGCTTCCTCGGCGAGCTATATGAATTCTGCGAGGAAGTCGGTAAAGTCATCCTTTGGCTTTATCTTAAGTTTATAGTAAGTAGTATACGCCTCTGTACGACAGTTAGGATTCGCGAAGACAGTACAGAGGTGGACGATGATGTCCTTAGCGTTAGCGTACAGGTTGGTTGATATTGCGCTTATTCGCGGTATAATATATTGTTGAACAAAATAGAGGCTGTTTTATATGGTACGAGCAGTAGGATACTAGACCAAAGGGTAAAATGAGTGTAATTATGAAAAGGAGAACCCTCCGAGATCTATCTTGGTATATATTTACATAATGTCGATAAGGGGCTGCTGACTACTAATATACCACCAGATGTAAGGAATGTACGGAAGTATATCATTTCTGGTCGATATACCCCCCTAGAAGCTACGTTATAGCTCCTAAATTCGTCTTATCTATTATTAAGCTATCTATCTATTCACTAGATCCTAGACAGAAAACGGACTAAGCTTTTTATCAAATTACTGGCTCTATATGCGTTGGTTGATTCTCCCCTAGAACATCTTCCTTCATTACTATCCTTTATCCTAAAACGAATATGGTTCCCTCAGCTATAGAACAATTTCAAAGCCTCTGGGCTGAGAGAGCGCTGCAACATTACCGGGATCTCTCTATCAACTTAGACAAGCGCCCTTATGAACTAGCCCTCCCCTAGGGCCACACTGGACAGGATCGTGGCCACCCGGTCGGGCCATGGAGACTTTGCCCAATACCATGAGCTGTTCAGATATGAAAACGCTAAGCTGGAGTAGTCGTGCTGCGTGGCGTTTTAGTCAGTTTGTATGATAGTATGAGCTTAGCTACCAGCCAGGCGATTCCGCTTCGCCCAAGTTCACCCAAAGGACAGAGTTTTTGTTTGAGATGTAACTAAGCGCTCGTTCTCTGAGTCTACGCATACATTAACGCTAATTCTAAATTCCATATTATTATAAGAAGCGATACGTGCGACTTTCTGATCGAAATTCAATATGAATCCTTCAGGCCCAAGGACGTCAATGCCAGCCGGGAGCTTGGCTTCGAGATCTTGGACGAGATAGGCCTCAATTGTCAGTTTGGCTGTTGCCTGTGGACCTATGAAGTAGACGTCCAACTCTATCCACTCGTTCGATATATATTGGGATTTTATGCCGCTGACCGAGATTGGTTTTGGCAGCATTGTGACTAGGGTATCTATCTTTTGAGCTACCCTGAGTCGATAAGAGTCATCACGCATCCGGAATCTAAATAAGCTGTAATGCATTGATCCTAAAGCTACTGTAGCCGTCGCGTACCTCCAGGCACGAAAAGCGTATCCTGGGCTATGGGCTTTGACGCGGTTAGACTCATACAAGGGGAGGGAGCCGTCAAACAAAGCTGGGGCTACTTCTAAGGTCGCCCCAGCGGCCGGCGACTTACAGCCGTATAGATTTTTATAGAGATCATTACCGGATTCGAAGCTAAAGTCACAATTCAAACAGGTAACAGAGAGCTGGGGGTGGCAAAGCTGTGCCGTCGCCCGTAATATAGCCCCGGATCAACTTCACGTTCCGGGACGGGACCCTGCGGCACGTGGTCTGGTTTGCATGTGACTTCCTTCTGACGTTAAATAGCAACTACTACTTCTCCTTCTCCTAAGAATCAACATCCTCTTCATTTAACAAACTTCAACTCACATAATCATGCTTGCCCGTCTTAAAAACATATTCACCTCCTCCACCAATCCTTCCGTACTTCTTGTTGTTGGCAAGTTTGGTGCTAGAATCCATGTTCTTCATCTTATACCCGAGGACGGCACCATCGAACGCTTTTGCCTCGTAATGCCATCTTCGTTTACTACCTTCCGCTACCGTGGAGCCAGAGAGCTATCGCGCGAGCAGATCGGCACAGTCACGCTTGACGTTGGAGATGGTGTGATTCGTAATACCTTCCTCGACGACGTTAAGACACGAATCTACAAGCTACAGAATGATTCCCTAAGCTCGAGCCCGGCGCAGCTACAGACAGGCAGTACTGAGGTAACTCAGCTCGTGCAAGACGTCCTTCGGCCCGTGGCACTCGATGCGATTCATGAAAGAGAGGTGCGAGATCGCTCTATGCGCGCGACAGAGACGTACCCTGTTTTTATTATTTACATCACACGCAGCCCAGGGAGGAGTTTTCTTGAGATGACAAGCTATCCTTAATGAGATTCCATCATGAAAGAGAGGCGAGATCGCTCTATAAGCGCGACACAGACGTACCCTGTTTTTGTTGTTTACATCATACGCCCGAGCGCAGGGAGACTGACTGAGCTGACAAGCTATCCTTAATGAGATTCCACCAGTTCTTTTGCTCAATATATGAATAGTAGTTGTAGTGATTTGAAATAACATTATATGCATCACAGCAATATATTGGCACAATTTTTATTCTGTATGTGGCTTGCTTTTTTACAATTCTGTATGAATAGAAGTAGTTGAGCATGTAGGTAGTGCAGCTAGTCAATAGAGTAATAGCATGCAATACTTAGTCTCTATATCAATAACCATTGAAGCCTTGACAATGAATAGTTCTCGTACTCAATGAACTATGAGGCAGAACTAGTCTTTTGTGAAACATCTGATAGGCCGGTTTCAAAAGTCCATTTGCAGTTATTGTCGTATCCCTGCGCGATTCTCTCAACATCGACGACAGCATCCCACGCCGCCAACGTCCTCCTGTATCGTTCCTCTCCATCCTCGACATTAACAGCGTCCAGGTCTTCCTGGCGCCTAGCATCGCACTCGCAGCGCAAAACAGACCTTAGCACGTCTAGCAGTTCCCTCCTCCACCCAGGTTGATGGCCCCCGGACAGCCGTGCCGCGACGTACTCATAGTACGCGGGCATGATATTGGCCATCTCCCAGTCCAGGAAACCCGTCACCGCGAGTGTACACGGGTCCACGAGGATGTTCCGGTCAGACAAGTCCCCATGCGAGAGGACAGGACGGTCCCAATCACCTGGGCCGGTGGTATTACGCTGTACTCGCTCAAGGGCGACTGCACGTTCGGCGTCCGGGTCAGAGGCCTGCAGCGCGCAGACGCGCGAGTCATCCCACTCTGAGCGGGAGGCACAATATACATACGTCTCTGTGCCGAATTCGGAGAAGAGGATGTACGGCTGCCGCGTGGGCCGGCCGTAGTAAGAAAAGTGGTACGTACGCATATGTACGAGGAGACGGCAGAGCTCTACCTTAATGGTCTGGCGCTGTAGAGGGGTGAGAGAGGGCCAGAGCTCGACTAGCGGCGTACCTGGCTGGCGAGTAAGAACGAGGCCCTGTTGGATGCGGTTGGGCGTCAAGGCGTTAGAGGTTATTATCGGAATTGTAACGACACAAATGACGCGTGGGACACAGAGGCCTAAGATGGAATGGGCGAGCGCGGTCATCTTGCCTTCGCCATCGTCAGCGCCCAGTTTGAGGATGGTAGAGGGAGAATGAATAAAAAACTGGCGTCCAATATTTGGAATAGTCGGCGCTGAGAACAGAGGGAGGCTGGGGAGAAAGGCCCAGTTCTCCCGAGGAAGCTGCTCTGGTTCCTGAGAGCTCTCGCCATCTAGTGTCATTTTGAGCGGCGATGCGTGGAGAGAAGTCCAGAGTATCAGGCAATATTGAGGGTTTACTTAGTTAAGTAACCTGGTGCTAAAGTGCAATGTCCTCTAAGATAATTGATTGATTGCGGAGCGAGCGAAGCAAGTATAAATCATAACGTCCTATGTACGTACGTATCACGTGGCTAAATTACTTATCTAAGCCCTTCTACGCATCACACCAGACCAATAATGAAGACAAGAGTTCTTTCTCGGTTGTAGCATTTGTCTTGTATATATTCTTATACAATAGCGAGTCATTCATTCACGACTATCTCCAGCCAACAGATTGATTTCTTGCCGTACGAAGCAATCCCACGAGGAATTGACTGTCTAGCAATATTCAACCCAGGCATCGAGGTTCATGTTCTTGATGACAGTCGAGAACTTGCCGGCGTTGGCTGCGTTGCAGGCTGATGTCTTCAACGTAGAGGAGAGAACGGCTCTAGCTCGGAGCTTGTGGTGACCGTGTCCGTGCCCGTGTCGGTGTTTTTTCTCCTTGGTGGCATCGGTGCTAGCCTCTTCCTCGTCGTCTTTGCCTTCGTCATCTTCATCGTCTTCGTCGTCGTCTTCGTCATCATCGTTAGTGTCCGCATCAGTGCTGCTAGTATTGGTGTCATCGGCGGCTGTGCTGGTTGCAGCGGCAGCGGCAGCCGAGGTAGAAGAAGGGATGACAGCGATAGTGGCAGTGGCAGTGGCGGTAGACTTGCTATCAGTGGAAGTCTTGGTGGCAGTATCAGAAGTATCGTCAGAGCCGTCCGACTGAATAGTCTCGTCGGAATATTCAATATGGAAAACAGGCTCATATCTTATCAATAGATGAATTGCCGCAGGACTGCTCGTTGTATGATGCTATCCTAAGCCGCCTACTATTCATGTTCGTCGACGTGATTTGCTGTTTTGCAGATGATCTTGGAGGCCTTGATGCCGTACGTGATATCTTATCAGTATGGGTGCGTATCGGATCGGGGTCTTCACGCTACAAGCTTGTTTATCATCTAGGAAAGTGGCTATATCGGCAAGTGAGATAAAGGCAGGTACACCGTTTATATTCTCAAATTATAACGGCGCAGCACCCCACAGAGTCCAATCAGGTCTGTTATCTAAAATTGTTCTCATTAAGCTAAAAATTATACTAGGATCTTTATAGCATACGGTAGGCTTAGACCTGACAGCGAGAGTGAACCATTTGTCTGGTAAGTAAGGTAGGACAGAGGTTCGGAAGGCTACGAAATCTAGAAAAGCACAGATCATAAGAGAGAGGTTGAAGAGATGTGCGACTAGAACTATATTAGGGTGGATCCCTGAACCATCACGCCAACTCGGGCCACACGCAACAAAATGTCCCCTAGGTTGGCAAGTATTGCGCCTTAGTATCTGAGAACATAAGAACCATAAGCTGTACTACCCTAATATAACTTAGCTAGATCTTATATTAAAGTGGATTCAGAATGGAAAATCACCTCAGAGGCACTGGGTAATTAGCTGTGAAATTTCTGGTTCCACTTGCAATAATAAAGGACTATCCCGGTCAGTGAACGACCTCTCTAGGGCTACATAGCAGCTATAGAGAATGGGTATAATATATAATCTTATTTGGTTTCCTCCATTTCATTTGCAGCACGTTAGAAGATCTTTGCCGCTCCCTAGTAATATGGGTATTGAATATTAAGGTTAAGTTCTCCCAGGTCTTATATGGAAATTGAGCGCGGAGTGAGACTAGTAAGCTCACCTCAGAACCTTGGAAGGTGACCATTTTATTATACTTTAGGAGGAAACTGGTTAGAACTTATCGTTAAAGTACCTAGGTAGGCGCCCTTGATTATAAATCGCTGGACTCGTTATAGGTATCTGTACAGTTAAGGTACTAGTAAAGGAAACCTTCGATGACTCTGAGAGTTATATTCTTCAGCTAGTATTAAGGGTCTAGTGGGATAAGGCGTTAGATAAAACTATATTATTAGTAATAGCTGGGAGAAAATCTAATAAAGCAAGATTAACTAGGATAAACCTACTTTTTGAAGTTACGATCTATATATCCTGTCACGATTGGCACTTGCGGGACTCGTACTTTCCCGTTTGGGATTGTACCGTTGGTCGTTCCTTCCCGTTCGAAGGAACTCGTTTGCGCAGACAGTCGTACCTTCCTTCTGGGAGAAGCGAGGATAGGGCTTTGCCCCCGAAGGGATATAAAGACCCATTTGTTGTTTTACGTTTGTTTTCTTTTCTTTTCTTTCTTCATACTTGATATTCGTTTAGCAATGCACTTCTTCTGCTAGAAATAACCTGGCACGTAACATATCCTACGGATTTCAGTATAGAATCGGTAAAATCCGCGTTAACTTCCGGATCTTCTTATTAGATGAATAACATCCAATCGGTTTTATTAAGCTTAGCTTCACTTTTCTTCGGCATTTTGCCGGTAGTATAGTTCAATGTTATTAGAAAGTAGAACGGCCACGCCGAAGATATGGAATTGTTTAGGGATGATATCTGAACGAGGACTTAGACTGCCTTTATATCTTTTATCCATAATGTACGCGCTGAGGGCGTTGATGTATGATGAATACTTACTCCTGTAAGGGCGCTAAGCCTAACTTGGCTAGTGTTGTATTCAATGCTCCAACGCGAGCGCTAGGTGAAAGGACCACGATTTCCCCTCGAAAGACCACGCACAATCGTGGTCTTTTCGCCGTCACCCCTACTTACTCCGTAGTTAGCGGGGGATTCCAGAGCAGGATGGCTAAGCGGCCATGCACGGGCCCTCTCAGGCAGAGCTTCCACCTTCTCTTCTTGGTTCTCCTCTAGCACACTAGCACCCTACTACTCCCAGTGACGACTCTGCTCTCATACCTGTTTCGCAGGCAGGGCTGTCGGTGCCCCTGCTGTTCCCGTTGCAGGGTCCCTCTTCAGTATAGTCACTGGGGCGCGTTGCGGGATATGGCGTGTATGCGAGCCTGTTCTTATAGAACAACGTATGTTTTGTTGATTGATCATAGCTATAGCCTTTCAACGTGTGACGTTACTTGAATTATTATTGACTACAAAGATTAGATATTTGTCCTCGAAGATGTATAACAAATGAAAACAAGATTATAATATAGTCTCTATCGACATTTCTCGAATGGTTCAACAAGCCCTGGGCATGATCGTTTATCTCTCAGAATAGATCCCCTTCGCTTGAGGTCATATTTCTGTCCTAGGTAGTTCCATTCCTCGTCTCCCACAAGTTTGTTTGCCTAGTTGAGATGTCTCTGGGCGGTCTCAACGTCCGTTTGACTCCTAGTATCACAATCAATCAATGTTTTGCTGTACCAATACCATTTCATGATCTGTTTCCGTCCATCCTTATATTCAACGAGAAAAGAAAATGACCCGGTATTATTCTTAGGGGAGAAAAAAAACCCAGCATACTCGATAAATCTTTCAATATCAAGGAGACTGGAAAAGAGGGGATATTCCGTCATATCCTAACAGTATATGATTAATACATTTGTAGCAGAGTGATAGAAATTAAAATCTTACTTGGTTTTGTAGTTTCCGTGAGTGGCTTTGTTGTAACATCTCATAGATTGGAGGCTAATCTGAGGAATTAGAGGGTAAATCTTGATTTATTGAACGGACCTTACCAATCTGGGATCGCATTCCATAGCACCCATTGGAGTTTAGGTTGTTGTATACGGTGATATTTTTGGTAATGGCTGTATCTGGCTTCCTGATAGGGCTTGGTTCGTATAAGGCAAGAGGCCGTGAATCTTCTCCCCAGACCGAAGATGAATTATCGCAAGCACCCTCTCCGGCAGAAAATGTATCCCCACTGAATTGGAAATTTTTGAGCCAAGTGGGAAGCCTGAAAAAAAATGGTATGCCGCCAAAACAGTCCATTTGAAATATAAACAATGCGATGGACGTACATGAGCGCTCATTAAATAAAATATGCAGATTTGACTAGCTGGGGGGTATGAAGGACTTCGTAACAGCTTCAAGACTCGAATGCCGAGTAACCAATTATATTGCCATATGAATATTTCGTAAAAACACCAGGACCTAGACGGCTTGAATGAGAGCACCGATAGCGTGATTTCAACTCTAACATATTCATGATAGACTTTCTAGCCAATCACTCCATTTATGCCGACACAAGTCTAGCGCGGACTAACAAAACTTCAGAACTTTGAGATCAGTCAAGCTTGTAGCCATTTGGAGCTTTATTTTTAGTCGAAGTCTGACAAAAAAATGTTAAAATTTGTTGGCTAATCATATGCTCGAAACCGACCAAAGTATTGATCTCAGGTTGCATATCTAGCTATCTAGGGGTATGAAGTCTACGGATCCTCGGGATGTATTCATTATAGCCATCTAGCGTGAATGGATGCAGTGCCTACAATATTTATTGTTTCAATCACGGCTTGGGTGGCTGCAATGGTCTATGCGTTGATCCGAGACTCGAAAACCGTTCATGTGTTGAGACAAGGTAAATGAACTCTTACATTATTCATTAATCCGCTGCTTACAATGACTTAGACCTCGATGTTTGGAAGTCTTCAAGCTCTGTATCTCTGATATAAGTGGGTTATTCTATACTGCTAGCTAAAGGTCAACACGGATAGTGATTTTCTCATCGTGAGATGTACTCTGTGCTTCTTCTATCAACGAGGTCTGGATTAATGGGGAAGGATCGTCACGTCGTGAAATAAATGATGAGCAAGAGTGGTGGAAGACATATGACGATAGTGCGAAGCAACATATACTCCCCCGATATGGAAAGCTCTCTACCGCGGAAGTGAGTATCTCCCAGAGAAACTTGGCATGATCATTTGACTGAATCGGCCTAGTTCTAGTAGAAGCGGATCAACGGCATCGCCTCACCGGCATCACCGTCTTTGATGGAGATTGGGGAGTTCACAAGTTTCCGCGCAGCCCAAACCAAGCACGAATAGGGAGTCAATTGGATGATATCTTCATGCCCAAGTATACTGCAAATCTACTGGGAGAGCTTGGCGCAGCACGAGTCAGTCCAGAAGGACCGGACCCTTACTGGCCACCAGAAGAACGGCCTGGGTATCTGGTCCATGCCCACTGTTGGGCGCTATTCGACCAGTTGATTGAAGGGGGCATTACGCGCATCGAGGCAAACCTCGACATCTTTGTCCAGGCAGCACAACACTTTTGGCAAAAAGATAGATTGCGAGACACGCAAGACTTTCGCACCCGATGGTCTGAAATGCCATCAAATTCAGATTCCCCCGGCCAGTCTGATTCTGAGATAAAAAGAGCGCTTCGTAACCTGCGCGAAATCTGCCAGAATCCACTGTTTGTGCTGAAGCTCGAAGAGGCCATCCAGCGAAATCAGAAAAGGGGGAAAGTACACCTACACACCGGATTCCGTAACTTTCCACTAGATCTCGCGATGCTGATAATTGACACGGTATGTCCGGCTGACAATACCGCGATCGAGATCCAAAATGCTCGCAATTTGCTCGAGGCCTTCCAATGGACTTTACCGGATAGCTACTGGCAAAAGCGATGTGATTGCAGCCTGCTTTTCGAGGTCAAGAAGTTGAAGAAGGCCAAAACACAGCTAGATTGGCAGGCTCTTGGACTCGATCTGATCAGCCTTCTCGTCGAAGACGAATTCACTAGTTGCCTGAGAAACCGCGAGCGCGTCCTTTTATATATGGACCATATTAAGAGGAGATTTATCGAATTAGTGTAATAAAATAACTCGATTTGCTGTACTGCCCGGGTTCCCACCTAAGCAGGTGGAAATGAAAAACAGCCTAAGTGTGTAAAAAAGGCATAATAATTAATAGAATTATGAAAAAGAATATATTCTTGTCTTGGATATATATACATGCCAGAAACACCTGGGCATTGCCATTAGTTCTATCACCAGGGCAGAAGTTGACATATCCACAGCAAAAGACGTCAAGGGGACTGAACGTTAAGAAATAGACCAAAACGCAAAATTGAAATAAAAAACCACGTCTCAAACATTATCACCATCAACCACACATTGGCACGTCATTACATTCACCCAAAATAACTAGTGCTTCTCCGGGACCTCCTCAACCTCCTGTCTATTGTCACTGCTGCTGAGGCCAAGCTCGCTCTTCTCATCTCTAGTATGATCGATGGAACTCAAGCCCAGCTCACGAGATTGTTGAGCGATCTCTTCGAAGTTGAGCTTGGGCATGGCATTGGCGACACGCCACGGCATCTTTCCTTCTACATGGGCTCTGGCGTAGATAATATCGACCTCCTCAAGCTCACGACCGGCAGTTTCAACGTAGAAGAAGAAGCCGAAGATCAGACCGATGAAGTTGAACAGTGCGAAGAACAGATAGACACCCCAAGGGCTCTGAGCAGCGAAAAGGGGCGTGAACATGACGACGGCAAAGTTGCAAATCCAGTTGGTGCAGGTTGAGGCCGACGCGCCGATAGTACGGGTACGGAGGGGGTTGATTTCCGGAGGGTAGATCCAAGGCAGGGGAAGGATAGTAAACGCGAAGAAAGTGATGAAAAGGAAGATACCAACGGCAGCACCCTTGGCGTTCGACTCGTTTTGCTCGATCAAGCAAGCAAATGTGATAACAAAACTGAGCCCCTGACCTAGGAAACCAATCAAGTATAGGTTACGACGGCCGACTCTTTCAATCATAAAGAAGGAGGGGATGGTCGCAAGGGCATAAACGGAAGCAAAGACACCGCCCATAATTAGAGATAGATATTTTTCCATACCCAAGTTCTCTTGGAAAAGTAGCGTTGAATAGTAAATAGCAGCGTTGCAGCCGGTGAACTGCTGGAAGAATTGACCGGAACAGCCAATAAGAAGACGTTGGAGTTCCTGGGTCTTGCCGAAGGTAAAGACTGTCTTCCAGCCGGATTGGGCGGCTGTCGAAGATTCTACGTCCGCCTTGAGGAAATTGAAATCGTGGAGCACTAAATCGGAATCCGGAGAGGAGCCCTTAAGCTTGCCAAGAACCACACAGGCCTCGTTGTCAAGTCCTCTGTTCACAAACCACGACGGAGAATCCGGGAGCATAGCGGCGCCGATAACCACGACTAGAGCAAAGAAGATCTGGAGTGCGACGGGGAATCGCCACTGGACGCTGTCTCCGGCGTGCGAAAGACCGAAGACTACCCAGTAAGCGATAAAGGTACCACCCGCAATCATTGCACCCTCGAAGCAGACAAGGAAGCCACGGTTGTGTGCGCCGGAGCATTCTGACTGCCAAACCGGGATCGTGGCCGTGTTCATGCCATTTCCAATGCCTGACACAACACGACCGATGACGAACTGACCGACCTCCCAATGACCAGTAAAGCAGACCGTTGTAATCAATGCACCAATAATGAGAACACTGCCGCCCATACAGATCACACGGGTACGGCCGAAGCTCTCACCGAAGAACATGGAGAACAACGCGCCGAAGAAGCATCCAATCTCATAGCAGGATGTGACAGCACCACGGATGACTTCGACGTAGAAGCTTTCGGATGGAGTTGCATTGTCGGGTTTTTCAAGGATTGGGAACGATTTGACAAACTCGTCGCCGTTGAGGAGACCGGCCATCATGCCCTGGTTGTATCCGAAGAGCGAGAAACCCACGACAGCGACGAAGGTGATGCTCACCCGGAGCGATCGACCACTCAGGCCACTGGTGGTTGTCCACATACTGGCGGTACAGACAAATCAAGGGCCGTCCGTTTGCGCGGAGGTAAAAAAGTTGGGGAAAAAGTGGTAAGGGAGGAAAAGATATTGAGACGGCGGAATCGGGAGTCTTATAGCAAACTTCTCCACGGGGGCTGTAACGAATATGGTAAATTGAAAATCGGACTTATACTGCGTCCTTGGCCGATCCGAAACGGGAAAGTCCAGCGAGGGCGCGTTCCCGATGCGGAGAGACGCGGGGGAATCTTTCCGCTTGGCACTTGGCGGGGGCACTTGGTGGGGGCGCTTGGCGCACTTGGCGGGGGTCCACGAGTCTGGGCGCGAATGACTAATGTCGAAAACGGCATGCCGCGGGGCCCATTCCTATGTCTAATGCAGTTCGAACATCAATAGCGCTATGCCTTTTTCATCGCTTTCTACCATGGCGAATTGCACCCAGGTAATTTCAAACGGCTCTGCCTCGCATGTTCTCCATGCTATGCATGTTTGCATCCTACTATTGCCGTGTACCTGATCCCGCCAAGGCCGTTCCACCCAACATGACGTCGCAAGCTTTTCGCCCCATCATGACGTAATTCTTCTTTCGCCAAGTGCTTTAATGTATGCTAGACAAGGCTCGCCCGGTTATGTATCAGGGTCCCGACCAATTATATCCAGATCCGTTGCGCCGCGGCACATGGCACACGGACCGCTGCAATCTCGGCTAAATGCTTTTTGTCAAACCCGGCTTTCCGATTACGCTGCAGCAGGGTCGTAAGTGGCATCGGGACCGACTCGGTATCTCCGTAAGGTGTTGCGTGGGTGGCTTGTTGTGATCGGGTTTATGGATCTGTGTTGAACAAACAATTTCCGGGGAATAGTTAGTCAAGGATTCTGGGTCTCTGGGGGTTATCCCCTGGCCAATCCGTTACCAACCGGTTGATATATCCGTGTTTTATAGTGTAAGAACTCCTTAGTTTTGCTTAAAAATCTTGAGTCTCGGCTTCAGTATTCTCCCACGCCAAGGACTGCAAGATCACAAATCCGGCCCCTTTTAATCTCGCGTAGTAGTTCTGGTAGTGGTATGGCATGGTTGGATGCAGTTTCCATGGACAGCTGAATACTACCATCTGAGGGTCTGAGAGCTTTCCGGTAGCACGGACTGATTTAGTTGTCATCAGATTACAGTTATTGATAGAAAATGGTTAACCTTTAACAAGCAATGCGGTATTAGGAGCAAGCCAAACTTACGCCGTACAGCCACAACATAAGTTAGCGTAAACATTAGTGCTCGCCTTACTTTCCAAATTGTGTGGTCTTTTACAAGCTCGGCTTTGTTTCTTTTGCATTCGATATGGACTAAGAAATAGAAAATGTAGACCAGACGGTGGCTCGGTGTGCTGAATAAAAAAACTGTAACATATCAAAGCCTTTGACTGCAACCCCAAGGGCGTTCAGCAGTGGTACATTTATAATAAGTTCCAATTTTTGGATAATGAAAGCCGCGCTGGTCACGACTCGCCCGCCGTGGGACCTTGCGGGCGTTGGCACCATGAACAAGTAATTTTTGGTCGAGGGTCAGAAGAGGCAGCAGCTAAGAAGCGCAACGGGCTTGGATGCATGTTGAGGACCCGCTGCATAGCGCGCTTGTCTACGGGGTAGACATGTGATAGTCACGCGACCGATTAGAATTTGAGCAGGGGCAAGTCAGTGCAACGGAGAAAGAGTCAAAATGCCTGGTTTTTGTAGTACTCGTAGGTACATAAGAACAAAGAGAAACGGGTACGGAGTACTCCGTAAACCGAGTGAAACTAGCGTCGTTTGCCTGAGGGCGCTGACTAGCGCGCCAAGCATGCCAAGCATGCCCAGGTGACGGAAGTGGCGGGGCTCGGGTGCCTGGGTGAATAATAAAAATGCCTCACCAGAGGACGGAGGTGAGAAACGTCGGAAAATCAAGAAGCACTGGGACGAGGAAAAAGAGCGTCAGCCTCATGGCTCACGTCATTGCAAAACCTCTCTCGCTCAATATCCGATACGGCGTGTAAGCGAATTCTGTCGGCGAAACGAAAGTGTACTAAACGATGTGGCCATGCTCATATTGTCCCTGACCTCCTCTGGACATGTCACCGGCACTTGCATTCTATTATAAGATCGCAGGTCATAGTTAGGGTCAAAAATCCGAAGAAATCGAGAAACAATGTCTCCATAATTCGTGTTGTAGACTTAGTCAACTTTTATTGCCCCGTAGGGAAGGAAGCTGCACGCCACGTCACCCGCCTAGGTGCTGAGCGAGTGATTCTGAGCGTTCGCAATGTTCCAGTAGGAGAAAAGGCGACAGTAGATATCGAGAAATTCACCGGCCGCTCAGGTATATGCGAAGTGTGGAAGGTTGATCTCTCGTCATTCGAATTAGTACTTACCTTCGGCAATCGACTGGTAAAGCTGCTGAAACTCGATACTACGATCTTGAATGCAGTAATCGCCACGATGGAGTTCAGTACCGCCGAAGGCTATAAGTGAACCCTAGCTGTTAATATGATTAACACTCTGCTCCTTGGCTTCCTCATCCTCCCTATACTTAAGACAACTTAACGAAATGACCCATTACATACTCCCCGTCTTTCTTTCGTTATAAGCGAAGTCTATGGTTAGGTCGAATTCCCCGAATATAAGGAAGATAAACCAATAAAGGTACTTAGCGACTAAGCCAACGCTAAAATAAACGACCGTTACCTACTCTCGAAGCTGCTGCAGGTGTTGCTAGTATAAGAGCTAGTAAGTCGAGTATGAGGATCCGAAGTGATTATCAATATAATTAATCCTGGTCTCCATCGCTTATAGTTAGGACGGGAGGGTGACTAGAAGTTCAAATTGTTTAAACTGGTCTTAGCTCGATCCACTGAGGTCAGATCCCGAACCCTGGTAGCTGGAGCCACGGCCGGTCTAGAGAGCCATGGTTCTTACATGTCAGATAGGCATATGGAGAATTATATGCTCTTGCCGTTTGTACGCAGTGTCCAGAAAGGTACGCGGGCCTAGTAAACTTTGTTGATTTTCTGCCTTTCATAGTCCCTTCTCCTCCTGCTTTTCTTCTTTTCTTTTCTCTCATCTTATCATTTCCTTCTCAGTTATCAGTCCCCGACAGATTACTATCAGCGTTCCAGTGCTTTTGCAGATCTCACCACTCTTTCAGACGAAGTCCATCGCAACGCAAAATGTCAACCAAAGCGTCGGCCAGCAAACCACATCTCTTCGACCGACTCATTCTTGCCACCAAGGCCTTTCTGGATCGAAAGATTGATGAACGTCAACTTCGCGAGACTGTTCACGATATCAGCGAGGCCAATTTACCATACAAGATTGTTCCGTTGTCCTCATTGACCCGCAAAGAAATCTTGAAAGCCTTCAACCTCAAAGTTGACACACGGGACAATGAACTTGAGAACGTCATGCCTATGCCAATCCCTAAGCATTTAGGTATAGAGCTCGAAAGAAGAATCAGAAGAAGAGGTAGAGTGAAATTGCTAATGTGGTATAGCTCAAACACTGGCACTGATTGATAGCGCGCCTAGCCGCTCCCCTACTACCGAGGCTAGTATTAGATGGATCATCGATACGTTATTGCTAGAAGTATATAGTATCGTTTCGAAGGACCTGCTATACAGCCAATCCCTGAACGTCTAGACCGAAAGAGCCTACTAATTTGGCCTAGTTAAGCTTAAGGGTAAAAGGGTGTACCTCGGAGCCCGGCTAGACTACGGGATCTGGTACGGGGAAGACGAGACTTTATGCCTCAACGTACTGATTGTCGAAGCAAAAAGGTCGGACATTGAGCTCGGGGCTACCCAAGCTTTAGGCTATATGGGTAAGTATTTTATATAACTTGCTATATTGATATTACGGAGCTAACCTGTCATAAAGCAACTATCCACAATGAGTGTAAGAAGAGCTCTAAGCGGGATGCTACAGTCTATGGGATGACTTCAAGCAGCGAGATGTTTTCGTTCTTGAAGATCTCTCACGACTCTAAGGTAAGCTTTGCTTTCTTATCTAAATCAATATTTGACTAGGGCTCTAACTTCTTCTAGTGGTTGTGTCGCGTTGTCCTCTCCCTCGAGGGCAAGTATGAGCAGCCACTTGGCCTTCTGGTCCACATGTTCCGCCGTGCTGCTCTGTCCTCACCAACCCACTCCAAGCAGGGCTCCGCGCAGACTTATGATCAAGAGGACGATGACACGATAAACCCTCTAGCTACTGTGAATGAAGATCTTGAAATGGAAGACTAGGCTTTTCCTGTGTCTGTGTGCTTGCTGCCCTCCGTCCTTGTGTCTATGTGCTCACTGCCCTCCGTACCTGTTTTCCTGTGCTTGCTGCCTTCTATTCTTATCAATGAACAAGTCCATGTCGTTTCATTTCTATGAACCTGTAATTTATGCGATATGCGCTAAGCCGCATGCACACGCCTTAACACCCTATCCAATGAGTGCTAAGTGTACTTTCCTTGGTAGTAGCTAAAGTATGTATTCGAGATTGCTCCGCGGAGGTCTGGATTGCAGTGCATATTGTCCGAATGGCATTTTGAACTCTAGTAGGACAGATAAAAAAAGCGCTCGGGGAAAGAGAACCATCTGTGGAAGCTTACAGGCCCTGCAAACACAAAGATGAAGTACCCTCGACATAATCAAACAAAATGAGATTTTATCGTGATATACGAGATATCATAATAATGCCTTGTCTTTCTGTATATTTGGTTGAAGACAAATCCTTTGGGACAAGATCCTCATCCCCATTTGAGATCAGAGCCTCGACAAGAGTTGCTCTGCCACCGTGAACGAAACCAAGACGACGGTAGAATTCCACCGCGACCTGGTTTCCTGCTTTGATGATGAGCCGTATTTGAACTCCACGTGGAAACGACCGAGCTGATTGCAGGTTGTTGATCGCGTGCTTGCACAGTTTATTTCCGAGTCCGAGGCCGCGATATTCTGGCAGGGTAAACAAACTTAGCATTTGCCATCGATCTTCCTCTTCGTCGGACTTCTGGGGTGGCTGGCCAGATTCCTCGGGCAACTCGAGTTGGGCTTTTGATAAAGGCCCTCAGCATGGTGACTTGGCCGATCCATTGGATTCCATTAGGACTTGACGAATCCTCGCTCACTGGCGTGGCGGCACAGATGAAGAGCTCTCTATCAGGAGAAATGAGACGATTGACCCAAGAGGCGTCCGTGAAAGTCGATTCGATGGCATAGGTAGAGGAGAATGATTCAGGTGAAGCCTTCAATGCTTTTAAGCGTAGGTCACGGTATTTTTGGGCGGAGGCCTCGACTCCATCTGTTTTGGAGACCCGGAGAAAAGAATAAGTACAGTTGGGCGCCATGGCGGGGGGGGGAAGAATTGAAGGCAATATGTGTAGAGCCACTTGATACCTCCCATTAGTTATTTATATACTTCGTCGTTGTGAGTCATGTGGGGCGAGCTACGGCCAACTTGAAATTGGCCGAGCTTTTCACGGCCCGAATTTAGATATTTGTTGGCTTCACAGCATCCATTACAAATCTCTTTAGTCTGTTCCTTTCTACGTAGTTTTCTATGGCTCCTTTTTTCTAGTCTTGTTTGTCGCCAAATGTATTACAGTTCATCGTCATGAATACTTCTGGTACTACGCGCATATCGACAGTAATTGGGGATATACTTAAGCCTACAGCGAGACAAGAAGCAGATAAAAACGATTGATGCCCTATATTCCTTGGGGGAGAAGCGAGAGAGGGGGAGCTAGCACCCTATCTACGTCCTGGGCTAGGGTGATTATAGTCAATTTTCCCAAAACCATATCGGAGACATCTTGATATGATTAATATCGCCAGAAGCCCGGTTGCATCGTCTCGTCAGAGAAATACTCAATCATCTGAGGAGGCCGAAGATATTCATCATGCCATAAAGCCTCATGAGTCCACGCAAACCGGTCATATGTTGAAACGTAGTCCGCGACAGACATGTACATCCAGCCAACATCCTCCTCCTCCTCATCCGTTGTCCCATCATGCCACTCGGGATCAATCTTATAGTTTCTCTCCTCGGGGCTCAAATCCCCCCATTGCTTATACATAATCTTCACAACAGGAAAGTCCATATAGTCCAAAGACTCTAGGCAGATATCATCAACAAAAAGAGCTAAGTTAAACCGTGCTCCAAATCGTATTCAGGCCCAGGAAGCTCACTTTTCTGCTCTGAATACGATTCAAAAATCCGCTGTAGTGTTTTAGGCGTATCAACCACTTTTGGTAGTTGTTCTGCCACCCAGCCATGGAAATGATCGCGTACCTCATGTGAAGTCGCGCCATTGGACTTTGGCTCATCAAAGATAACGAGATCGTGGGCCTCTAGAAGCTCGATTCTTTCCTCTCCAGGTGGCATAGAACTTTCTATGGATTCTTGCATGCGTTGCTGAATAAGCTAGAGCATTTTATGCCACGCAGTATTATTGTCTTTGAATGAACATCGATAAATGCAAAAGCCCCATGGAAGTTTGGTTTTCTCTGAAAATCCGACCGTGTCATTTTGATTCCCTCGAATGGGATCTCCCCCCCTGATATTGGGCCTGTAGTTGACATTTTGCAGATGATTTGATGGAAAGGCTGGTGGAACGAATTAATAACTCGCGGTCTGAAGAGCAGCATTGCCATGTTGGGGCGTCATGTCAGGGGCACTGGAAGACTTGTACGGCAGTCGAAATGGGCCGAACTGGGATATGCTTAGTAATATATATATTATTTTCACCGCTGGAGTTTCCGCCTTTGTATTATACAAATTAATACATTCTGTGTATTCTTAACTAGTGAAGAGGGAAATGCACGATGGGCAGCCTGGCCATGCAGGCAAGACGAGGACGACACAACAACACCAACCATCCAGGACGGTCAGCTAGCAAGCATAAGGATCACGTAGACCACACCATAGCATACAATCTCCTAGCGCACAAACATCTCGCAACTCGTTTTTCATTTCTGGGGTGATGCTCCTTCTAGACTATCTGCTCCCCGAGACTCTACTTGACAACCAGGCCTTCGTTTTCTCTGCCTGAGGGACAAGGCCACTAAACTAGGCATCCCGACTTTCCCCACTGCACTAGTTGTATTTCCAGACCAAACAGCATTTACATAAGCCTAAACCAGGGGTATCAACGTGAGCATTGACCGCCTGACCAACGTGAGGTCTCAGGCGGGCCCACATGACCTGATTTCTGGCTAGATCTCGATCATTGTAGAGAATCTAACCTTCTACATATCTCTCTCACCGCTCTAAGAAAAGACAAAGGCACCGACATATCGCGGTTTCCAGTTCGGCGAAAGCACCTTTCTACGCCCGTCTCCTCGTTGCCTCAAGGGACTTCTTAGATCGAAAGATCGCCAAATCACACAAAACTGTTCCGAAGAACGCAAGGAAGTGATGAAGGTATTCAAGCTCAAGCGTGATTATCGTGATAGTGAGCTTCCCAGCGTTGCTCCGCTATCACTCCCAAGACATCTTGGTGTGGAGCTCCAGAGAAGAATCAGAAGAAAAGGTAGAGTGGTATAGCTAATGTGATATAGTGCAAACCCTGCAGCTCATTAAGCGGGCCTCAAACCGCTCTCCTATAACAGAAGTAAGCATCAGATGGATAATAGATGCATTACTACTAGAGGCTCATAGAATAGCGTCAAGGGGCCCATAATATACCCTACCCCTCAACGTACAAATGGAAAGACCCTATACGTATGGCACAGTGATGTTTAAGGGCGAGATGGTTTACCTTAGAGCCCGGCCGGACTACGGGATTTGGTACAGAGAAAATGAGGCTATTTGCCTGAATATCCTAATTATAGAGGCTAAGAAGACAGATATCGAATCTGGGGCAGCCTAGGTCTTAGGCTATATGGGTAAGTATTTTATAATAGTTGTTATATTATATATTATAGAGCTAACCTGTCTCAAAGCAACTGTATACTATAAATGTAAACAGAACCCCGATCGGAATGCCACGGTATACAGAATGGCATCAAACGGGTCGATGTTTTGGTTCTTTAAAATTTCCAACGACTCGCAAGTAAGCTTTGCTTTCCTATCTCAATCACTCTGAACTAAGGTTCTAACCTCTTCAAGGTTTCCTCCCGCATCTTCGTCGATGAAGAAGGTGGATATGAGCAACCACTAGGTCTACTCGTTTACCTGTTTCGCCGCGCCGTCGTCACCTCCCCAACACACTCCAAGCAAACCTCGTCGCAAACCTACGACGCCCCGTAATCTGCTCATGAACTTGAGTAATATACGCTATTTGGGCCTCAATTGGCTCCGATCGTAGCTGACGAACCTCTTGAACTGAGATATCGCTTTCGTGGGGTATTTGCCTATTAGACCGATTACGTTTTTACTTTTATTTTGTGTCAGCGGCGCGTAATTCGCTTATTTTCCTTTGCTAAAATTATATCATTACAAGATAGACAATGAATAATTACACTATGCGGAAAGACCACGATTTTACCCCGCAAAACCACGCACAATTGTAGTGTTTCCATATACTCCCTCTATACGGAGTAGCCCCTTCAATTTTTCGCTGTATTTCGCCCGCCCGCTTTTTTATCCTCGTCCGTGCTCTGTAGGTGAGGCATTTCTGCTATTAATCCGGATTACCGAGCTCCTGAGCTCCGCTACCCCCTTATCCCTCGATATGACTTATCGGCTATTCTGCGATTGTGCAAATGTAATCTACGTTGCCTGCTTGGAGTCTTTATTTAAAAGCTCGACGGGGAAGAGTACTTCCGTTATCTTCTTACCTCTTATTATAATAAGCTTAAATAGGGAGTACAGCAATCGAATTGCCCCACAGAAAAGTGCAAAGTTTAATGGCCGCTGCGTCGAACAAGGCGCAGCATGATCCACGCCAATTTACTTTCAAACTCAACGCTAAAGGATTATCCCACGAGAGCTCTGGCACTTTCAACCGTTCTAGCACCTGAAGATTGCCGAGGTAGCCAAGACGCTTCGAGTCTCCTGTCTTCAATTTGGTAATCCGCATTTCCAATTGTTCCATATGAGATCGATACTCCTTTTCCCGTCTCAAAACTTTATCCACGAGTGGAATTTCCGATGTCTTCCCTGCAGAAACTATCGAATTTTTTTTGTACGGTAGAAGAGAATTTTGCCAACGCCAGCCTCACGCATATCGTATATGTTCTTCCAGAAAATGCGGCACTATGGCTAGTTTTCTGCACCCACGCTATACATACGAAACTCTAGCCTTCGTACATTGCCCGTAATATACTAAGTTAATATAATAATATAAGCTCTAAGCCGTTAATATTGATAGATTGAGTGCCTAAATCATCTTGTCCTGGCCAACGCTCAACTGATGGGGTTGGCCTCCCATTCCCTCCCCCCCAATCAGCCAGGAACCCAGCAGCAATAGGAATAAGGATCTGTTTTAAGGTTCTCATTATCAGTTCACTTATAAGCCAGACCGGGATGTTCGCTTGCTATTCGGCAGAGTGAAGTATGAGCGATTTATCCAGACCGGGATGTTCACTAGCTGTTCGGCAGTTGAGGTATGAGCGATTTATCTGGTCCTATCACAGAATAGTCGAGGGAGCTTATTTTGCTAAACATGCATAGCCCCCAGCAAGCTCAGCTGATATTTTGGCTATAAGTCGCGTTACCACGCCTCCGGCCAGACACACGACGACCATGCCAACCATCTCCCCTCGTCATTGATCTCAACGTCGCTTTCGACTGTTCCTTGTCTGTTCCCTGACAGTATGGCGATAATTAGAATCGCAGATCCCGCGCATGCGGGAGATGAGCCAGGACAGCCGCCGTCAGGCGATGATGAATCAACCATGGGCCCAGCTTTCTCTAAGTCGCAATCGATGGCCCGATCACGTCAAGGGGACATCCACGAGAGTATTCTCAATATCCGCTCCCATTCCTGTATGCCGGAGCGGATCAGTAGCAGGACCTCGGCCACCGAGCAACCAGACGACGACCCAGGCTTGCGAACCCCGGGCGACTTCAAGCAGAGACAGGTAGGCAACGCGACCATGAGGGACCGTTAAGGACAAACATCACTCACCATTAGCAGGTATTTAAAGGCAAGATGCTGTTATGGCTGGCATATCAATCCGTGGGCGTGATTTATGGCGATATTGGCACCAGTCCCCTCTACGTCTTCTCGTCCACATTTTCATCCCCTCCCTCTCGTCAAGACCTACTAGGCGCCCTCTCCATCATTATTTGGAGCCTGTTCATGATGGTAACTGTCAAGTATGTGCTGGTGATCCTTCGTGCCGATAATGACGGCGAGGGTGGCACTTTCAGTACCTATTCCCTCCTCAGCCGCTATGTAAGTGCTTCTCGCCATCTCTTCCTCGCAAAAGCTGATGACCCACAGATGAATATCACCCACAGTGATCCGAGGGAGACTTCGTTGGTCCAGATGAAACGGTACCTGTCCGGTGACCTGGAGCGCGTGGGTCAGAAGGTGCGCCAACGCTTGGAGTCCAGTCGGTTCGCGCGAGGGCTGCTGAAAGTGATCGGTGTGTTGGCCGTCACTATGGTGCTAGCTGATGGCCTGCTCACGCCAGCCCAGTCCGTTCTCGGAGCCGTTCAAGGCATTGAGGTTGTGCAGCCGAGCATATCCAAAGGCACAATAATCGGTATCACTGATGCCATTCTCGTTGTGCTGTTTTTTATTCAGCCGTTGGGAATCACGAAATTATCCTTCGCGTTCTCACCGATCGTGATTATATGGCTCGGGTTTAATGCAGCGTTCGGGATATACAACCTCACTAAATACGACGCCGGGGTTTTCCAGGCTTTTAATCCCGGCCTCGCGTTCGAATTCTTGATCCGTAACAAGACAGACGGATGGAGGATGCTAGGTGGTACTTTGCTCGCCTTCACTGGTGTGGAAGCCCTCTTTGCGGACCTGGGCGCTTTCAGCCGAAGCGCGATCCAGATCAGCTGGCTGTGCTACACGTTTCCGTGCCTATTGTTAGCATACATCGGTCAGGCAGCGTATATCAGCGTCCACCCAGAGGCGTATTCAAATCCCTTTTTCAACGCGGCCCCACCTGGAACCATCTATCCAGCCTTGGTCATCGCAATTCTGGCTGCAATTGTCGCCTCGCAGGCCATCATTACCGCAACCTTCCAGGTGAGAGAGTTGCAACCCTTGATTTGGGAGAAGGTCTCACTCTGACAATGCTGGCAGCTTCTTGCACAAGTGATGAAACTCTCCTATTTCCCTCAGATCAAAGTCATCCATACTTCTCAGATCTTCCACGGGCAGCTTTTCATTCCGATCGCGAATTGGCTGCTAATGATCGGAACCATCTTGATCGCATCGATCTATAACAACGTGAGTGGCCTCTTCCTTTCCCTATTTCATTCTTTTCCGGCGACTTATCTCATGTCCTCCAGACGACGTCCTTGGGTAATGCATACGGCGTATGCGTTATGTTTGTGACATTTTTCGACACCTGCATGGTTTCTCTGGCTGCAATGTTCGTATGGCGGATCAGCCCGTACATTGTCCTCCTCCCGTGGCTCACCGTGGCCTGCCTGGACGGTACATATCTCTCTTCTGCGCTGACCAAGGTGCCTGACGGTGCCTGGTTCACGATCGCGCTCGCTGCAATCCTCGCCATGCTGTTTCTTTTGTGGCGATACGGCAAAGAACAGCAATGGTTCGCCGAAGCCGAGGACCGCGTCCCCACTGCACATTTCATCGTATCCGGTTCAGATGGTCAAATGTTCCTGTCCAAACGATACGACGACCTTCCAGTCAGCATCACCCCTGGTCTTGGGATCTTCTTCGACAAAGCGGGCGAGACGACCCCGATTGTGTTCAGCCAGTTTGTGCTTAAGCTCACCTCTTTACCTGAGGTGGTTGTGTTCTTCCATCTCCGCCCACTCGAGCAACCTTCAATCGCCCCTGAGAATCGATTTACCGTGTCGCGTTTGGCCATTCCAAATTGTTACCGGCTGATTGTTCGATACGGATATAATGACGAGATCATCACACCCGACTTGGCGAGCGTAATAGTCCACCAGGTCCGGGAATATCTAACGTCGAGCAGTGCCAGCATGCCCTTAGATGGGGAGGATGAGGGAAAGGATTCTGTGACTCCTGGCAACTCCACGACGGAAGGCAGTAGAGACGCCCGCGCTTTCCTCGGTTCTGAAATTACCATTCTGGAAGCGGCATATTCCCACAAAGTGCTCTATATTGTAGGAAAGGAGCAGATGAAAATCAAGCCCAACACAGCACGCATCCGAAGAGCCTTGCTACTCGCGTTTCTGTGGATCCGGGATAACACGAGAAACAAGATGGCCAACCTCCGGCTGCCAATAGACAAACTGATTGAAGTCGGATTCCTCAAAGAGATATAAGTGTGGCGATAAGCGATCTGGATGAAAAAAGGCGCAGGATGTTGAAGAATCAGCTTGAATCGCCGCTGCGACATAGTACCTCCGTGTATCTCACTAGCGAACTGTTTATATTGCTTTTTGTATGACAGATAGTGTTACTGTTCGCGGACGGTATAAAGTACCTCTTCGTTCAGCGGTTGTTCCAATCTTGTTGTCTCCGATTTCATCTTATTCAGGCTGCCTAATAGGCGCAGTCCTCTCATCAACCCAAGACAAACTGATTCAGAGATATCCTGAGATCCATCCACCGCACATATGTTTACGTTTTGCCTTTCACAAAGTCAATAGTCAAAATTTGGAAATGGTTAGAGGTGGTGCATCGCCAATGTTTATACCGGCACAAGGTCACGATTTTTGCATCGCTAACCATGGTCAAAGGCGAGAAGCAAACCCCTAGAATATATGTTACGTATACCTAGGGGGTGACCTCGGTATGATGGCAAGAACCAACGTTGGAAGGTGGTAGAGTCCACATTGGGAGACCGGAGGTACATAATTTCCACCATTTTATTGGCAGCAGGAAAGTACCCAAGTCACATCGCCTTGATCAATATCTGGTTGTGCCTTTCTTTTTTCCTCTCTCTTTTTCTTCTTTCCATCTGTCTATCTTGACGATTTTCGACCTTCTATTTTTCCTTTTCCACTCAAACTATCTTCAAGTTTACATTTGAATTCCAGGAAAAGATGATTCGAACGGCGACAACGCTGAGCCAAGCCATAAATGAACTCCGCGCTGCTAGGGGCAATATCTCATCTCCGCAGTTTTATCAACTGATACACGAGCAAGATGCGAGACTCCCTTCCGTTCGTCTATCATTGTTAAATGCCTCTGAAGTCGAACACATACTGTGCCTCGAGCCGGCTAAGACCAATCAGGGATTGGGTTCCTTTCCTACAATCGCCCCGCCCGAGTTATTAAGTGAGTCACAGGAATCGCAGAGGGGGATCTCGCTAACTTCTTAAAGTCAAAAATCTCGCAATGACCGACGATGCTTTGAAGAACGAAAAAAACGCTGAAGCTAGTATGCGCTGGAGGATGAATCACTTCCTTCTATTTGCATTCAACACAGCAATGGACTCGTATTCTGAAGAGAAAAGACTTCTGGAGATCCACTGTGAGCCTAGATGGTCATTCGGACCCGTCCGATATAAGGACCAGGCCGTGAAGCTATCAGGATACCCATCTTACGCCCTATGGTACGGAAACGAAGACGAAGCCGCTTTGAATGTCATTGTGGCCCAGAATACGAGGTTTAAGCGGCATGATAAGGGAATTCCGGAAGTTCTAGGATATATGGGTGAGTACAATGTACCACTGATGAAGTGCTCATTAACTGATTTGGTCGAAGGTTTCGTCCATCATCATCGCAAGAATGCAAATAAATTGAATTCTCCGGTCTATGGGGTTGCAACGGACTCTAAAACGTTTCACTTTGTCAGGCTGGACAATGATTCCACGGTATACTTATTCAATATGTCTCACTTGATTGAAGAGTTACATTCTAATACCTTCTAGTTTATCACCGCAACACTGGACTCTGAGGTAGATCTAGAAAAGGTGTTCAGTCTATTGGTTCATATCTTGAAAGAAGCATTGATCGTCCAATCGACTCAACCGAAAGAGCCATCTATGCAATCTAATCAAGGTGAAGGATCCGTCGATCCCCTCGTCCCCGTCGGGTCTTCTCTTAGACGAAAGGTTGCCAGGGAGACACAATATGAAAAGCTGAAAGTGGCCGCAGCTGCTTTGGATGAGGACCTCGATTATTATGACATAGATGTGAGGGACCTTGAACTCGAATTTCCCGAAGACGAGACCTCTGAAGATGAGTATTCTGAAGATGACTAATGCTTTGAAGTTCGGCTCCAAGGTTGCTTCCAAGGCTATCGTTACCTTTTTTACTATTTGCTAAACTGGGTGAGCGTACAATAACAGCAGTCACATCTTGTCTGATATCCACAACAACAAGCAATTATTTAAACATATCCTGCCTTCTAGGAAAAGTATCTTTTGCGTAGTGTAGCTATGAGAAAGTCAAGTTTATTAATATGGTTGATCCTACGCCGATTCATGATACTTGGTAAGGATGATAGACCCATCTCAAGGGTTGAGATCCATATTCATCTCTTCGGACCCCACCCCACTGTAGTTTTCTGCTGAGGTCTCCTTTGAATGGGCTGGGGAGATGGTAGCTGCCTTCCGGAGCATCCATACCAGCAACCCGAACGGCTGCTCCAGAGCTGCCTGACGACCGACAACAGCAAATTCCGACCACTAGTAGATGTTAGAATTCCGAGTTTCTGACGTTGGGTTCTTGGCCGATATAAACTAGCTCACCTTCGAATCGTGACTGATTTTTAGAAAATGCCAAACTGATCCAGTATACGCCATCCCGTAAACACCGCAGTTGCGCTTCTGGTCATTCTTGCGTCCCCGGTGGATACACCCTTTGATACCAATTAGCTTTCCCAAAAAAGTATGACACATATAGCGAGATACATACCCATATATCCCAGGAGTTGGGGGATTGGATCCTTGGACTTCGCTCCGCCCTTAGCCTCAACGATGAGGACGTTAAGGCACAAGCCCTCGCTCTCACCATACCAGACACTATAGTCCATTCTTCCTGAGAAAACAACCCGCTTATGATTAAGAGTCACCGGGCCGAAAGAATAGGCCCTCTCGCATTGAACATTCAATGGCTGGGCATTTGTGAGATTCGAAGTGGCAGTCGTGTACGCGTTGAGGGTGACAGCATCAATAAACCACCGAGTACTAGCTTCGGTGGGTCGCGAGCGACCAAATGCCTGTTCAATAAGAGCCAATGTGGTGACTATAATGAATTAGCTGTATACCCCTTCTACTCTATGTCTGATATCACATACCGAGGTGGGGGGGTAGGGCGAGCGGCTGAAAATTCTTCATCTCCAGGTCATAGGCATCGTATTCGAGCCGAAGAGACCGTTCAACCTCCTTCAAGGTCAGGTCTGAGACTGGGACACTGTCGTAGCGTTTCATCTGGCCCTCGACCTTATCAGTTGCAGTCTTCAGCTGTTGTTTGTCGATCCTCTCGTCGAGGAACTTCCGGACCGACGATCTGAGCTGGCGGAGGAGCTTATGACGCTCCTTTGGTAAAATCTCTGTGGCGATCATTGCTTCGCCGGTGGACTTCTCGGCACCAGGCACGCCCTCCATACGCTCGGCACTACCGCTCATCGTTGCAGAGTGGCTGGTAGCGATGTCTAGTACGGTGCAAAAAACAAGAGTGATGGAAGTGGAAGATGCAGGATGAGAGGAGAGTTGATATGGGAAGGAAGAAGAATGAAAGTACTCTAGAAAAAAAAGTAAGGTTTCAGCCTTGTGGGTACTATCACTAATCTGGTGCGGACCGGTATTTCCTTTCCTCTTTATTTTCTTTCCAGCTCTCGCTGTGTTCTCTCTTTGATTCAATTTTCAAGTCTTCAGGGGAGACTCATTCAAGCTACCAAAAGGCAAACCACCTTATCGCTTCTTATTTCCTGTGTTCTCAACCAGAATGGCAGAGTAAGACCCTTCTCCATTACCAGCTACCCGTAAACGACCACTCGAGGTGGTGGCGCATACGAATTATAGTTTGTTGAGCGTAGACGACGCAAATTCCGTCTGAATCTAACGTACTATGGCTTACAGCCGGCTTCTATCCTGTAATGATCCTAATACGGTCCAGATTTGACTTATGGCCTGCAGCCGGCTTTCGTTTCCCGTGGCGGACCGTATACGGTCCGAATTTAACTTGCGAATACCAGACCGAGGTTATGTTAATGAAAGACCAAAGAAAGCGGTTCTAGAACAAAATGTCCGTATAACACTAAACTCACTGGCACAAATCTAGAAAATATCCAGAGGCTCCCTGTCAGGAGAAGAAAGACAGCCCCAGAAAGTATATACCATCTCCAGTCTGGATTATCCTTCAGCAAGTTCACGTTCATGCCAAACAGGCTCTGTATGTATCCATCAGCCGAGATCATGACAACTTTTGACAAATCTTGACTTCTATAGAACCTTGATCGATTTACACACCGATGCAAACATAAGAGGAAGAAAAATGAACTAAAAGAGAAGAGTCAGCTGAAAAACCTAATGATATTCTTCATCCATTGCATGATTGGATTTGACCCAAAACTTACTGTAATCCAACTAAGACATTTGATACTGGCTGCCTCATTTTTTGAAATCCATGCAAGTTCCTGCCGATTTGAGTATTAATATACCAGGAAGGGAATTCAGGTGCCAATAGTCCTACCAATTGCACAAGCTCCCGAACAGCCTGTTCCATATAATCCAAACTTTTGACAGTAGAGATCTCCATAGCCGTAATAAGACTAACGAGCAGTCTTTGATCCTGTTCCTCTAGGTGATAATTCATTTCAATCTCGCATTTCAATCTACCAACATGTGATCGTAGGCATTTCCTGATCTCCATTCGTACCGATGTGTTCTTAGCAACCTCATCAATTAATTCAGATGCCTGACCCCTTTATTTCAATTGGTTCGCTCGCTGATATATTTTAACCTCAGTTGGTTATGGCTTTAGATTGCTTTTGAAAGGATTCAGCGGCTCACCATTTCATAGATTTCTGCAACAGCAACCGGGCAGACATCATCCCATTTGCTCTTGAGATGCTTCAAAAAAAGGTCGAAAATGTCGAACTCTGAGCAAGGAATACAACCATTTGGAAGTCTGCTACCCGAAAAGCTGCTAAGGAAAACATCGGCCTTTCCTTTCGAGTCTGGACTCCTGACCCATGCGATACCGCATGGCTCTGGGCACTGCTCGTCGTTTCCGGGGATATGTTGATATTTGGCCGGGAACGCAATTGATACGTAAGTTATCTCGGTTTCGAGAAAGTTTTTGCCGATGTATTGAACGTATTGTGATTTGCCAAGTTCAAATTTCATGTCACATTCGGCATTGAACTGTCTTGGTACACGAGACCAAATTTCGTGCTGTGCACACACACTGTATCAAAGTTAGAATCTAGAACGAAGACCCCAATTCTTTACTCAGTATAATGTTCGCCGCCCTTCACGTGGGAGCAAGTCACACTCGGGCTTCAGGATTGGCTGCCAATCAAAGTGATAGTCAGGAATGTATTGATTGATTTGCACCCAGTAGGTATCCTCGTTTCCAAGTTCAAGCCAGTCACTTGACCGCATGTATTCAAGTGTAGACATTGAGCTTAGTAGCTTCCTCACAATGCTCTCGTTTTTTTGATGTAGAGCGTATTGTAAAGGTGTTCGTCCAGTTCGGTCTTGGCAGTCCAGCAATGGCCCCTCTATTTTATCTTCCATCAATATATCAACCAGCCTCTCATGTTGATGGAAGCACGCAAGGTGCAAAGGCCTGGTTCCTTCGTAATCGCACCTATCCAAAATCCAGGGATCAACCTCTTTGCCCCAAAGAACAAGCTTTCTAAACGTATTCAACAATTTTTCCAGCCCGTATTCCTTTTCATAAGTTTCTGAATGGCGAATTAAGTAGTTCAACGAGAGGTCTTTGATTTTCTTTTGTGCCATCAAGCCCACAACATTCTGGTGGTACTTCTCTACTGCCCATAACATCGGAGTTCTTGCGAAAGTCCTGTCGGTTTGATCGGTGCGATTTGGATCAACGTCTTTGTTTGCCAATAGGTATTCCACGATTTGACTGTCGCCGAATTGAGCAGCCCAAAAGAGCCAGGTGCGTCCAAATTTATCCCGGCGGTCTGGTAGGAGAAGGGAGTCTACTAACTTGGCGAGGTCGTGGCGAGGAACCATTCGATTTTGTGGTGTAAGATCGATTGGCATACTGATACCATGATCTAATCTAGCTTTAAGAAGCCACCAAAAGCCTGTATGCTGGTCGCCATCCTCTTTATGTGGGTCAGCTCGATAGTCAAGAAGCAACTGCATGATCACCACACGCGACTTGCCCGCGGCAAGTGAGAAAGGAGTTCGCCCTCGTGCGTATTGATCCACGTTGACTATGGAATTCTTTGATTCCAGTAGCTGTCTCACGGACTCGACGTCCGATTGAACAACTGCGTTGATGAGAGGGGTGTTGCCTTCACAATCTGCTAAATCAAGATCGGCATCTCGTTCAATAAGAAGACCGATAATGTCTTTTTTGGCCTCGGAGGGGCCTAGACTCACTGCCATTGAGAAAGGCGTTCGACCATAGGCGTCTCGGTGGTTGACTTTAGCTGCATTTGCCAGAAGGTACTGAACGATTTTGGTAGACCCAATAGAAACTGCTCGTTGTAGCGGAGTAGGATCAAGACCATCATCTGGATTGATCATCGCATTCTCTTGCTCTACAAGAAATCTCACGGTCTCTAGGTGACCAAGTTCGACTGCACGTGATAGTGGAGTTCGACCCTCACTGTCCCGCCACTCCACCAGGGCCCCAGCTTTCTTTAGGAGCTTTATTGTTTGGGGCTGTCGTGATTCCACCGCCAAAAAGATAGCTGTTCTGCCCTTCGGGTCGGATAGATTTAGGTCTGTTGTCTTTCTTTTTAAAAATTTGTCGATAGTTTCCGGTCGCATCGTGGCTTGCCACAAGGGAGATTGTGATATCTCGCCGTCGCAAAAGTTCACGTTAAAATCGTCACATTTCAAAAATGCTTCTATTCGTTCGAGTATTTCGTTCTGCCAATATTGCAGGGCCTTCACATTCTTCTCTCCTTTTCGCTTTCGCGGTTCTCTTTGGAGTGTATTCAAAAATTCTGCCTTCAGAGTGTCAAAAGATTCCAGAGGAAGGGAATCACTGGTCGGTTTTTCAGTCATATTTGTCGTAGACTGTGGTTCTGATATCACAAGCAAGCAATAGGGACGAAGTTTGGTCTTGGAATTTAGCGATATCCTTGAAAATTCTTTTTTTCAACCTGCAAAAGGTCACAAATTTAATAAATTCCCTGCAGCTGAGTAGCCAAAAATAACATGCATGGCCCCCATATGTGTTAACAACTTGCATGTTATCCAATGAAAGAGTTATGTTCCGATGGCACACTTAGTCGCCCGGAGTTCACTAATGACTCATTAGGCAATAAGCAGGGTGAAATCTAGGTGAGAATTACCCAAGTCGCGCGACCACCGCGTTGGCCCCCTTAGCTGTACATCCACATATCGGATATTGGATGAAGGAAAGACATATTATTGGCTACATGAAACAATATGAAAGTGGATCTGTGGCAGATGACTAATTTTGTTTACTTTTGACCCTTTGGGCTTTCCTGTGCGTGGATCTATAAAGAGCCAACATCGCTTAACATGGGGCTCAAATCTTGAATAATATATCCTCCATCGCCACCTTAATTAGAACTCCCACTCACTGCTGTCTAGAGCCCAATTAATCTTGTGAGGGGGGTTTGCCAAGCCGTACAGAACGTAATATGAGTCAGACCATGTCTTTGGGGGGAGAGAAACTCAGCCGCGCTGAAACCGCACATTTGGCTAGGGAACAACAGAAATTAGCACATACCCTATAGTACCACCGTGGGAATGGAAAATCACTCACATTGACCCAGATACCTGATCATAGATCAGGTTTGTTGTCGTAGCGGGGGTCGGCTCGATTCCACATGGCAGAAACTGTCTTCTCAATAAGTCAGCTCCAATATCATTGAAAGGAGAATGATAACAAACTCATTGACTCGGCGAAACTCTCGACGAATGTCATCGCGAGCGTCACGATCTAGGCTCCAGAAATACTCATCCGAAAGAGACTCTCCAGGCACCTTGTCCCATACAATACAGACAGAAAATCCCCCCGGGACCGCATCGTCGTTCCCTTGTTGTGCCTCTTTGTAGCCCAGGAGGGCGGGAGTAACATTACATGCCATGGACTTGAGCCTTTGAAATGCCTTTAGTCCAGTGGGTATATATATCGGAATAGCTTGGAGTGCTCTGGTTTTGGGCTTAGTGTACTCCGTGCCGATGGTTGGGATCTGACGGTGGATTCTCATGAACGCAAGCTTTTGAGTCAAGTCGTCCTTCCGGTAGCAAAGAAACTTTGCCATAGTTGAAACAGGGCCATGACGCTCAACTTCCTTCTGGCTCATCAGAAGGGCTGATTCCTCGAGATGTTGGGTGATGATCCATGTTTGGGCAGGCAACGAGACATATGGATCGGCATCTGTTGTGATCTCACTGCCTTCTAGGCTAGCCAGAAACGGGGTTGTGACCTGGTGCATGACAAGCTGATATATCTTTGCGAAACAGAGCGAAAGTTTGTTGAAATGTAGGCGCGGAATTGGAGAGAATTTGAGAAATAAAAAAGATGAGCAATGAGTGACCACAGGACTGAAGTGGAAGCCTTAGGCTTCAGGCTTTACTTCTGTTTACATTTTTCTCTTCCTCTTTCCTCTTCTTTTTCTGGATAACCTTTTTGTTTCAATTGATTGTTCCAACAAAAACCTGTGAGTCGCACTGCGATTGTAAATTGATGCATTATTTTGGAGGTAGTATGTGTATACTGACGTCATATTGCCTATACTAGAATATACCACACTGAGCACTCCCCACTGTGGAGTACGGAGTATATAAGCTTATGTTTTGAAGGAATTGGGTTAGGCGTTACCTCGTGATTGATTGTTAACAAGCGGCCAAGGGACGGCGGCTTCAAAAGTGGGGTTCTCTTTATTACCCGTCGACCTTGCCAGCAAGGGTGCGTTTTGGTCACAACTCACGGCCAGAGAGGAAGATTAAGACATTTATTGAGGGTACAAGTCCCTGCGAAGACATCGGAGCTCGAGCAGAAATGAGTTTGTTTTCAAAACTCGCAAATCATGCGCTGGACTTCACCCCCGTCGCCAAAAGCCATCTCCTTTTCTTCATTGGCGGAGATTCAGGCTCCGTCCGGGGTCATAGCGCGGGGTAGTGCCCGTCCGGGGTAAAACTCGCCGAGCCCATAGCCCGCGGATGAGATGACACCGAGACGTGTCCTACTCTGGGATTCGTCAGGTTCTTTGAAGATCGATAATATTTATCTTGGATCCTACACGTCCAATCGCCACCCAGACCATGTTCTACAGACATAGAGAGATCAAGCATCATGAGCATCCAACTTCGTGTTCGGAGGCCAGCGGTCGAAGACACTCTGAATGGGTCACGTTGCTGAACATTTGCCCGTGTCCAGGTGGTACTATATACGTGGAGCCAAGCATAGCGCTAACTAATAATTAGAGCTTACGAGTAACCTCTCCTAGCTCGTCGGTTAAATTCCAAGGTTTACTCGCTCATTATGATAGGCTCGACAGAGGATCAGGAGGGTCGGATTTCAGAGTGGGCAACAAGGAAAACCCTGGGACGGGACACAGGCATGACTCGCACTGACTGAACGCGGGAGGATTCTGGACTCTCCCCTAAGATCCAAAGGAGGATATTCTCCGGCGAATGGAACGCCACATCTAGACGCATACCACCACATTTCAGCATACCCCGCAAATGCACCAGTAAATTTCCTCCCCGCTATTACCTATCAGGGCTAGTACATGTCAGATCACTTCGCTTGACGAGAACCCGCCATAATCAAGTGACGCTACTACCGTAGTGCCGGGGGAAATGACCCTCATGAATGGAGATGTTGGCTTGTGGAGGTCAAGGTCCGGAGAAAGCTTCACCCAATTAAGCTAAGATCGGGACCATAATCACGAGCGTGTCGTCGCGGGTATAAAGATCTGAGACCCCCAGTCGTGCCTGCCTCTCTTCCATTCCCCCGTTTCCCCAGAAATCGTCAATATGAATAGCGACATCACAGAGAAGGAGACCTCAGCGTTAGAGGTCGAGGCGCCCACCTCCATGGGTGGACCTGTTTACGATGTCGGCGAGAAGGTCGACTACGACAGAGCGGGCGCCATCGAGGCCGAGGAGCTCGAACATAGTATGACTGTGCTCCAGGCTGTCAAGGCCTATCCTGCTGCCAGCTGGTGGGCATTCGTGATGTCATGCACCATCGTAAGCTTTTGCTCAGGATAGGCAGATCATTTCTCTAACGTTGCAATAGATCATGGAGTCATACTGTGTTTTCTTAATGGGACAGTTCATAGCGACGGCTAAATTCGCCCAGGATTTTGGTGTATACAGCGCAAAAACAGATGAGTGGATTATCGAAGCATCATGGCAGTCAGCATTCCAGTGTAGCGGGCCAATCGGTGCCTTCATCGGTGTGTTCATGGCAGGTCCCATTACCAGTTGGATTGGATATCGATGGGCAACCATTGGCGGTCTCATGTTCTTGAACGGCTTCATCTTCATCTTCTTTTTCGCCAACAGCCAGGGTATGTTTTTCGCATCCCAGATCCTGGAAGGCATCCCGTGGGGCATTTTTATCGCCAATGCACCCGCCTACTGTGCCGAAATTGTGCCAATGAGATTGAGAGCTCCAGCGACACAGATGTTGCAAATGTTCTGGGCGGTTGGGTCGATCATAGTCGGCGGTATCACTTACCACTACCAATCCAAGAATGACTCGTCAGCGTACAGGTTCGTCCGCTCCCATAGATGCCATCGAGGAGCACTGTACTAACACTCATCCCAGAGTTCCCATTGCAATCCAGTGGATTTTTCCTACTCCCCTCGCTATCCTACTCTTCCTTGCACCTGAATCGCCCTGGTGGCTCGTACGAAAGGGTCGCCTGGCTGAGGCAGAGAAGGCCATCAAACGCCTTGGACGCGCGAGTGCAAATGATAATCCCGCTGACGCAGTCGCAATGATGCGTCGTACGATTGAACTCGAGAAGACCGAGAAGAAGCCCAGTCTCATTGAGCTGTGGAAAGGTACCGATCGCTACCGCACATTGATTGTGTGCGGCGTGTACGCATCTCAGAATCTGACGGGCAATCTGATTGCCAACCAAGCGGTTTACTTTTTCAAACGTGAGTCCAGCCATTTCCTGCAGCTTCATAGCATACTAACACCAGCTCAGAGGCCGGCATGGTAGACAACACCGCATTTGCACTTGGTCTCATCACTTCTGCCCTCCAGTGGATCATGGTCATGCTCTCTTGGATCCTTACCACATACCTCGGCCGACGCACCATCTATGTCTATGGTCAATTCATCAACTGCGCATTCTTGGTCGCGCTCGGTATTGCGGCTTCAGTTGGCACTAGTAACGCGGCCAGCAATGCGCAAGCATCGCTTGGCTTGATCGTCTCTGTCCTGTTCTGCTTGGGACCCGCCCCTGCCTCATGGGTCATCATCGGCGAGACATCTTCCGTTCGTCTCAGGCCACTGACAACCGGTGTTGGACGAGGTGCATACTACTTGGTCAATATTCCTTGCATCTTCCTTGCCAGCTACATGCTCAACACCGATAAGTGGAATCTGGGCGGCAAGAGCGGCTACATCTGGGCTGGTACCGCCTTTTTCTGCACTGTCATGTCTTGGATCTGGGTTCCAGAGATGAAGCACAGGTCCTTCCGTGAGATCGACATTCTGTTCCGGCGTCATGTTCCGGCTCGCAAATGGAAGCAGACGGTCATCGATATCCGCGATGATGAGTAGATGGAAATTGAGGTGAGGAGATTGCTTTAGGGTTAGTGATCAATGGAATATTCGACCTAAAGGATGATTGATCGTCTGCGAGGCTATCGAGTACTAATTATATACCTGGGGGACTAGTGCTCCCACCCTGTTACGATTCACGTCACACCACCCCTTTCCTATTTGAGAAGGGTTAATGCCTGATACACCGCCTTAGTGTCACCCTAGTAAGATGGTAAATACCTACAATTTGTATATAAACCTCTAACAAAAATAAGTCACTTCTATCATATCAACTCCGTCAACAACTACTTCAACAACTGTTCCAAAAACTGCTTCAAAAACTGCTTCAAAAACTGCTTTATCATCATCAAGGGATTAAAACATGTAGGTATGAGACAAAATACACGTTTTTTCCTGATCAAAATGTAGCTTTTTTTGATTATGTCTCGCAGAATTAAATTGATGCCTTATGCGTAAGGCGGAATCAGGCGGAATCATGCAGAGGGGGGTCTCTGTAAGTTGTAACAATCCCCTTCGTATATTATCGAACTTTGCAACCCTTCGTGTATGCTACTGATCAAATCTATACGCCTCATCAGGTGTGACTCGCTATCTACGATAGATCGCTATCATGCCTCATGTTTGCTTGCTTGCTTGCTATTTGCATTACTTCATCAGATTGTTATTGTTTGCCACAGGCTAAGCGAGGTGCTCAGAGGTTTGCAATATTTGCAAAGAGACAGCTATATCAACAAGCTGCTTCCCTCTTTGCAACCTGCTTCTTCTTTCTCTCCATCTTGGTTATTCTGAATTCTTCTCTCTTGCAAGCATGTTACATCTAATCCTCTCATGTGATCAACTGACTGAGGTGCCGGCGTGGCGTTGGCACGGTATCTGTCGAGGGCATAGCGCCTAGTACCATGTTCCGGAGTGCCGTCTCCTCGTTGAGGTCGGGTTGAAGATTGGGTACAGCTACGGACCTAGAAGTCGAGTACGAGACTGTACCCAATCTTGAACCCGACCTTGCCGAGGAGATGGTACTAGGCGCTATTCCCCCGCCTGAGCATTCTCCAGCCCCGACAGATACCGTGCTAATGCCACGCCGGCACCTTACCCTACCTACTATCCGGGCCACTCCCATTTCAGGAGTGGGCACGGCATTTGATGCGCCATGGAAGTGTGTGTTAGCCCACGAAGCAATGCGACACACAATAGTGATGAAGCGCTTTCCAAACGAAGACAGCGCCAACGCGACATGTACTACATGGGATGTAAGCTAATATTTCTTTCAATGAGCCTGGGCAATTAGCTAACCTCTTTCTAGGACCTGGACGGAAAAGAATTGAAGTTTCTTAGGGATGTACGGCCAGCTAAGAGGTTCTTATATTTCCGATTCATCATCACCTATATATACTGCAAGAAGGAAGGCAATCTCGACTTTACCAAAAGGTTGAAAACATCAGACTATTCTGGCCAATACCCGGCGAATATCTCTGCAAGTCTATGTTAAAGATGTTGTCGAGAAGTATTTCCGGCCATAAGCTACCAGACTGTTTAGTGCAGGAAAGAACCTTTAAGGACTTCGAAAGCACTCCCGGGACTGATGAGGCTACGAGCGGGATCATTGTGGTAGAGGATATATATCAGGCCATGATTGTGTCGATCAAAGAACCTTTAGGTAATAATGATAAAGAGGAGGAGGCCTCTGACTCAGACTCAGACAAGCCGGCCTTTAGGGATAGAATGGAGTTTTTGTAAAGCTGGACCTTCGCCCTTAGGCATAGTGTACCTAGGTATTTGCTTGTTTGCTTTTCTTTTTGCTGCCCTACATGGAGGCCCGAAAGTCTGAAGTTACTATCTTGAGACGGAGCCATTCATTCAATTAAAGGCTGTATTTATTATCCAAAGAACCATGGAAGGAGTCAAAGCTCTAGATACCTTAGTAAAATAACTCAAGATGCCGAGGATCAGAACATTGAAGTATGAACGTTATGGTATCTTCCAGGTACCCCCTGAAAGCAACACCATGAGCCAGCTATAGATGCGCAGGTGAAGAGAGATCAGATATAAGGCGGCAGTTAGACTTGAAAGCTAGGAGTAGTCCGTAACCGGTCGTGTTGGAAATGGGCTTCCGGACTAATGGTTAGACCGACCGCCTAAAGTCGATAGCTCTTTGTCCCTTCTTCTCCTTGGGAATCTTTTGGGACTTCTCATCCTTGCCTTTCTTCAAACTTTCATAAGATAGGTTTCGCTTCTTTCGCTTCTTTCGCTCCTCTACCTGTACCCACAAAGGAGCTATATAACAAACTAAAAGCTCATCAGACTTAGGGATATATCATCTATCGCACCACCTATTCCCCTCAATCTGACTCCCCCTTCTCCACTGTCGTCAAGTATCTCGAAGCTTGTATCAAAAGGTCATTCTTCGGGGAATACAAATGGAATAATAAGTCGCCACCCGGGGTAAATCCCGCCCTTTACCAGGGAATCTGGGCGCAATATAGTTCAACCATTATAGAAGATGCGGCGCAATTCGACGGTGCCTCGCTTGATACAATACGCGCTTACTTTGGCCTGGGTCGATACACAGGGTCAGCGCGATAAATTCAATAAATATCGAATGTATATGATCATTGATAAGGAATGCCTACAGACGCTGTTAGGCACTTCGGTGGAAACCTTAGAGCAGGACACCAATAACGAAAGATATAAGACAGTGCGTTAAGTGAAGGTCCTCGAAGCGTGGCCTGAAATCGATCAATATGACACCTTTCCGGGATGGATGAAATGTCGTTCGCTGCTGCTATGGCATCTATGGTTGATGATGTGCGATCTTGACGAGATGAGAATGTCCTGGGAAAAGATTGATGCAGAAGATGATGGGGTGTATTACGGTTGAATGGGGGTTTTATAGAACCACGCACGGGAACACGGGAACACATCAGGACTAAGGGCGCTAGACCAAAAGGGTCAGGATTAGCCTAAGAGCGTAGATCGTTATACCCATCCGATATGGTGTAGTGGCTAACATCGCCGTCTCTCACACGGCAGCCGGGGGTTCGATTCCCCCTATCGGAGTTTCTTTTTTCTTGTCCTCCATTTTTGAGGTTCCCCCTTTCTCCAAGTGTAGCTAATCCTGCCATCTTTCTACAGAGACAGGGAATCAAGCTACAACGTTATGGAAACCGCCATTAAAATTCATATCATATAGAATGGGTCGTCGAGCCCCAAACCTCTTAAAATCTCGTTAGCCTAGGGCTGTAAGATAAGGGTAAAACGGTTCAGTTTATACTCCGTTATGCTCCATACTGTATCCGACGATCTTGTCTACTATATGACCTACGCCGAGCGATATCATCCTATTCAGAGTGGCCACGGCGCGAGCCAACTTTGGAAAAATCCATAGATCGGTGATATGAACTGCAGCACCATGGGATGGAGTATAGGTTAGATTTACATGATTCTCGGCTATGTTCTAACAAGCAGTACAGAACTACTCTGTACATATCTCAAGTCAAAGCAGCAGCTGCGTCGTGTGTGGATTGCATTGAAACAGCCTACGACACCGCTGTGTCAAAAGCGACTACAAGCTTACCCTTGAACGGCTTAGTGGAAGAGGTGTTATACATAGCCTAAGAACTGGAAGAAACGAAATACGATTTTTCACAGAATAAAGAAAAGCAAGACTAAAAGAATAACCACTGCCCAAACCGTTGAGCTTTACCCCAGGCACCCTTCTTCTTCTCCGTAACCGGACCCTCAGGCCCATCCCCGTACCCATCCTCCTGAGAAGGATCATATCGGTCCGTCATCAAATCCATACTAGACTTCCTAACAAAGCTAGTTCTCTTGACCAGCTTCCAAGCGAGGAACATGGCAATCATGATCGGAATCTCAATATAATACGAAACAAAGTCGACCTGCTTGAAATGCGGACTGAAGCACTTCCACCCCTGAACCAGAACCAGAACAATATTAAGCCCGACAGCAAAGATCGGACCATACGGATAAGTCCAATTTTTAAAGGGAAGGAGATGCTCAAGCCCCTGAGCCCGGATCGCCGAGCGGAACCGCAGAGAAGCAAGACCGATACAAATCCACGAGAGCTGGTTTGATACGCCGACGATATTCTGCAGCCAGGACCACAACTTTCCAGCGCCGATATAGCTGGCCCCGAAGCAGAGACCGCTGATAACAGATGTCGCGAGGACAGCCACCCACGGAACCTGGAATCGATTGAGATGTCCGAAGAATTTGGGCGCATATCCATCGACGGCGAGAGTGAATAGAAGCCGAGATCCGGCGAAGAGGGCATGGTTCGCCGCTGAGATGACCGAAGTCATGATGACAGCGTTGATGAAGCTGCCAGCGACAGCGGAACCGGCTTGCTGGAAGACAATTGTGAAAGGGCTGGTCTTTGTGTCGCCGTCTGAGAGGCCTGGGTAGTCATACGGTACATTTAGGCCGACGATGAGGATCGAAAGGAGGTAGAAAAGAAGGATACGCCAGAAGACGTTGCGGACGACTTTTGGCATTGTTTTCGCGGGGCTTTTGGTTTCACCGGCTGTGATGGCGATGGATTCGGTGCCGCCGCTGTTCAATTGTTAGAATGGAGCTCATTGAGCAGAATCAATGATAAAATGAGTTCACATACTATGCAAAGGAGGCTGTGACAAATACGGATGCAAAGCCACCGATTCCACCGACGAAGGGTGCATCGCCTCTATGCCAGTTCTTGCCGCCGATATATTCGTGGTCTGTATTTCCGCCGCAGTTCACAGCAATTCCGAGAATGATGAAGATCTAAAAAGATAATTAGCTGGGCGTGCGTGTGTTGTGTAAGGGATGGCACTCACGATGATAGTGATGACTTTGAGTAAACTCAACCAGTATTCAACCTAGACAGGAACAGTCAGATCAGGTGGGTAATAGAGTGGAGGTCATCTAGACATACCTCGCCATAAACCTTCACAGATAGGACGTTCAATAAAATGACAACAACCAAGAAGATTAGACTAATTGCCCAACCTGGGAAATGATCGGTCCAATACTGCAACAAAAGCTGTAAAGCAATGATATCCGATGCAGTAGAGACAGCATCATTAAACCAATAATTCCAGGTCAATGCGAATCCAAGCGCATCATCCACGAAGCGACTATAGAGCAAGTTAGTAATCATCCGGCTGAAAAAACAAGTAACTAATACTCACCCAGCATAAGTACAGAAAGATCCAGCAACAGGCATAAATGCCGCCATCTCGCCGAGACACAGCATAGTGATGAAGACAATACCACCGCAAATAGCATATGCAATAAGAGTCGAAGCAGGCCCGCCCTTAGAAAGTGACGATCCCGTTCCGAGGAATAGACCGGTGCCGATGGTACCGCCAATCGCGATCATCTGCACCTGACGCCCAGACAATCGGCGAGCCAGCTTGTCTGCGTTGACAAATGGGTTTGCCGGGACATCATCGGCTTTTGTGTCTGGAACCTTGGAGGGCTCTGCTGCCGGGTATTTCTCGATGTCGGCCATGATATAGAATGAATATGGATACGGAGGTATCCACTAACTTTGTCTTAGCACAAAACATGAAAAGAAAGGTCAAACAATATCATCACTCACCTGTCCGGGTTGGTATGTATGAACTAAGACGATTCAGCCCTAAGTCGCGTGACCCACACTTGGCAACAACCCCTTGGCGTTTATGGTAGCACTAAGTTATATTAGGCACATCGACCGGGAACAGTTGAGATAAAGATGAACACGAGGATGATAAAAACCACATAGCAAGACTTTTCTTCCTCGATGGCGTGATTGAAGCCATCGATGAGTACACAGGGCTTAACGTACGAAATGTGACGTTGATGTGTCAAGGAAATGTCCGCCCCCACATTTGGTGTTGGGGTAAGATTTTATAGGGTTACGGAGTAGGTAGTTCAGGCACACATACTACTACATTTAGGAGGCTTTTAGAGCTTATTTAGACATGTATGAGATAGTTTATACACATCTGGAAATTATCGCTTTCATATTCACTATGCTTTTGAACCTCGCCGGGAAAGAGATTTTTTTGGTTGGAAAACATACGCCATCAAAGACCTCAAACACATGAAACCACGAAATATACATTAACCAAGCAATCCACTGGCCAGAGCCTCCAGATCTCCCAGGGTTTCGATAGGCTTGGCAGAAGCCTGGCTCTTGCTCTTGGGCTTGTCGTCGTCGCTGTCCGGCTCGGCAAAAGAGACACGCTGCTTCTTGCTGGGCCGTGGCTCGCGCTCGGAGCCAGAGTCTGAATCGGAACCGGGGATCTCGAAAGGCACATGGGGGAGATGCGAGAGGCCGTCTTCCTCCTCCGACATCGCGGCCTCGGCCTCGGCTTCGGCACGCTCGCGCGCCTTGCGCTTCTCCTTCTTCTCGCGTCGTTTCTCGCGCATAACCTCCTTGTCCTCGATATCGGCCTGGCGTGTGCGCTCCGTCTCGCCCTCGAGGAACTTCTCGCGCTGGGTGTTGGCGTCGCCACGGGCCTTGAACATGTCCTCGTCTTCCATTTCGTACACCTCGTGGGCATTGCCGTCGTCGTCGTAGACCAATTTCGTACCCTTGCCTTTGAACTTGAGGAGCTTCTTCTTCGACTTGAGCAGCTTCTCGCGTCGCTTCGAGTCGATGAGTAGTGGGTCCTGGCCGTCCAAGTGCACCATCTTGACACCCTTGGTGTCTTTGATCTTTGGCTCGGCATCGGAATCTTCCGAGTCGGAAGAATCGCTCTTCCCGCCGAGTTCTGCATCGCCTGCAGCGAACCGACGCTTGACCGAGAGGAAGTCGGCATCCTCGTCGGCCTCGTCGTCGATTTCTGCGGCGTCCTTGGGGGCATCGGTAGCCACCATCGTGCCATCGTCGTTGATGAGCTTCGAGTAGTGCTCCGCCAACACGCCCTGGTTGCGTCGCTCGAACATACGGTCGTACCGTGTCCGCACCTCCTTCTCATCCTTCTTATCCTTCGTCTTTGTGTCTGAGTCATCATCGGACATTTGTGCCATTCGCCAAGATTCGTTCTTCCGCTCCTTCGCATCGTCACCCTTGATAAACTTAATACGCGGAGCACCGGGAAGACCCAGACTGGCTGCATACTCTTCCAACGGAAGTTCCTTGATCTTAAAGGTCTCCTTGTCCTTTTGCACGTAAATCGACTTGACGTAGGAGATGAAGGCTTTCTGGCCCAAGTACTTCAGCTCTGGATCCTTGAAACACATATTCTGCAGCTGGTTCTTGATACTCTGCTGCTTGTTCGATTTGATATTGATCTTCTCAATCGGAACTTTCCTGTGCTCAAGCTGCTTGAGGAATCCCTTCTCCTCGCTAGGGTCTAGAAAGAGCACAGCACGACCAACACGCTCGTAACGGGCCGTCCGTCCGACACGGTGAATATAGGTATCGGCGTCTTCGGGGCAGTCCATTTGGATAACCCAATCGACAGCAGGGAAATCCAGACCACGAGCAACAACATCAGTAGCGAAAAGGACAGCGTGTTGAGCCTGAGAGAACTTAGTGGTAATATCCAATCGTCCACCCTGTTTCTGCCTCCCGTGCAAATGGAGCAAGGAAATACCAGGCTGCAATTGTCTTAGTGATTCGTATACGTAGCGAACTTGCTTGCCTGATGACAAGAAGACCACCGTCTTAGATTTTAGGTTGCTGCGAATGAAACTCCAAAGGGTGTCAAGCTTCTGCGGGAGTGGAGTAACGGTGTAGTGTTGTTGGAGAGTGGAGGGAGTGGCGGAGGCGGCTGATTCATGGACCGAGACATACTCAGGTTCCTGCAGACTCAAACGAGCCAAATCACCGACCTTCTTGGTCTGTGTGGCACTGAACAGCATAGTCTGGCGCTGTTTGGGGAGATGGTCGAGGATAGCATCGACAGTCTTCTGGAAACCCATATCCATGATACGATCGGCTTCGTCCAGCACCAGCATCTGCAG